AGCCCCCAAAATAATGTAGGTAATTGATAAAGCCCCTATATTACGCCATAGAGCCCATACAGGAACCCTATGAACACCCCAATACTACAGGGGCCTTCTACAAAACCCTGATCAACAAGAAGCTTACCTTACACCATAGAGGGACCCCTTGTTTGATTTCTGCAAGGGTTGTTGAAGTACACGCCCTAATCAAGACCTCGATGGCCCTCAGTGCAGGCATCATCCCTTGCGGCTACTAGTTAGTCCTACACCCTCGGTTACTGGGTCCAGGGTTCCAGGGCGCAAGGTTTATGGTTTTGGGCTTTGGGCTACGAGCCTGCTGAACCCTGAACCCTAGCACCTGAAACCTACCGTCATGTCTCGGCACCCCACCTAGAACCAGCTCCCCCACGGCTGATTTCAGACGTGAGGACATGAGGAGACGGAAGAGGCTTTCTGTACGACTAAATACCACCTGATCGCCGACGATGTCGACCTCGGCCATCTTAGAAAGATCATACTTCTTACACCAATGCTCCCAAAAACCTCACAAACCCCGATAACCATGAAGTGCTTCAGCCCAACACCCAGAACCCCAAGGCCTCCGAAGCCCAACATCCTAAACCCTAACTAACCCTCACACCCTGAGCCCAGCATGTAAAATCCAAAACCAAAAAGCCCCAAACCATTAAAATCCCCTGACTAGAGGACCTTGTATGGATCCCTGAAAAAAGCCACAAAGTGAGATGCGCAACGGTTCCCAAACCTAATTTAAACCCTAAACTTATAAGCCCCAAGTCTTAAACCCCAAGGCATAAAAAGAGCCCTCTAGTAACCCTAAACCTTGCATGAAGGAAGCTGTTGGCAACCGCAAACCCTTATCTGAAGGAGCCGTTTTTAAGACCCTCAACCGAGCGACCCTTCGAAGAACCCTTCAAGGAACCTTACACAAGAATCCTTGATAGTGGGCTCAAAGAGCCCTTGAAAGGAACCTGAGACCAGAACCCCCAAAAAAGAGGACCCCTGAAAGAGCCCCACACAAGGAGCCCAGAAAGTGAGACACAAGGAGCCCAGAAAGTGAGACGCGCACCGGTCCGGGCGGCCGAGGGAGGGACTCCAGCATGGCGCTGACTTGCCAGCAGGCATCCTGCCAGGCTTCAGAGGTGATGGAACAGCTGTAAGGTTTAGGGTTCAGGAAGAGTTTTAGGGTTTAGGGTTTA